AAAAATTCCGACTACATCGGATGGCTGGCAATCAGAGCCTAGGCCACTTCGCGTCTTGCCAAACATCTCAGGCTGCTCCGGTGTCTTCATTCCCGGGTCTTCAGCGGGGTTTGTTTTTCGAACTTCAGCCACAGCGCCACATTTTATCCGCTTGAGGGGTGACTATACCAAAGGGCTAGGTTGCTTTAGTTCTCCCGATAAAGGATTCGCTTATCTTGATTCAAATGTACGTCATCTACCATATCTACGTCATATCACTATGTACTAAAGCTCGTGAAACTTAGGGCCTCGCTCACCTAGCCACACTCCCTCACGGGGCGCAGCTTGGCTACTCATGGACATTCAAAAGGGTGCCAATAGGGGAACAAATTGACCAGCTAACGTACTCGTCTACCTCCAGTACCTATGTTCTGGGAACATGCCATAGGTCCGGGTTTAAACTACCAGACGATGACGAACTGCACCCCGAATGGCGCAACGAAGGTAAGCTACTTATAAACCGGTATGCCTGGAATCCGGGCTAACCAGAAATAGTGGTTTCTTTTTTGCCGGAAGTACATCAAAGCTCCCTAAAGGTCGTGAGCCCTAAGACGTGGACTGTTATTGATAGGTATGTGACCACTAGACGCTCGCAACGCTGAATACTGAAATATCGCTGTTCCATTTCGAAGCTATCCGCTGGAACCTGCTGAACACATAATGGCTTTGAAAACCATGAGCTTGGAGGTATCAGAGAATACGCACGAACGCAGGGATATGATTGTGGTGGGCACCTCGCTGGCACGTGGAGAGGACATACCATCACGCGGTTGCATATATGTTTTTGAGGTTATTAAGGTAGTTTCCGATCCAGATCAACCGCAAGCCAATCACAGATTGAAGCTCATTGGCAAAGAGCCTGTGAAGGGGGCTGTAACTGCGCTATCCGAGATTGGCAGTCAAGGTTTCTTGATCGCCGCGCAAGGACAGAAGAGTATGGTTAGAGGTCTGAAAGAGGACGGAAGCCTTCTCCCTGTTGCATTTATGGACATGCAGTGTTATGTCAGTGTGGTGAAAGAGCTCAGAGGGACTGGAATGTGTATACTTGGAGACGCAGTGAAAGGCCTCTGGTTTGCAGGCTATTCGGTATGCTCTTCTAATGCCCAAGCTACGAAAAACTCTAATCAATTTCCGTATTCAGGAGGAGCCTTACAAAATGAGCCTCTTTGCAAAGGACCTGGACTACCTTGAGGTGGTGGCGGCTGATTTCCTTCCCGATAACAACAAATTGTTCATCATTGTCGCTGATAGCGATTGCAATATTTATGTACTCCAGTACGACCCTGAGGGTGAGACATTTCTCCGGATCTATACCCAACTTGTTGGACAATCCGTCGCCACTAACTCCACATAGACCCGAACTCGTCGAACGGTGACAAGCTGCTTAATCGCAGCAAATTTCACACTGGAAACTTCGCCTCCAGTGTAACTCTCCTACCGCGCACCCTAGTTTCTTCCGAGCGAGTCATGTCCGGCTCAGACGATATGGACATGGACAGTGTAGCTCCTCTCCATCATGCCCTTGTAACCTCACACAATGGCTCCATCGGCCTGGTCACTGGTGTTTCCGAAGAATCTTATAGGCGTCTCTCAGCTCTACAGTCCCAGCTAACAAACACACTCGAGCACCCGTGCGGCCTCAATCCGAGAGCCTACCGCGCTGTTGAAAGTGACGCAAGCGCCGGACGAGGTATGCTAGATGGCAATTTGCTCTTCCAGTATTTAGACATGAGTAAACAAAGAAAGGTCGAGATCGCAGGCCGAGTTGGTGCTAAGGAATGGGAGATTAAGGCAGATCTTGAAGTCATTGGTGGAGATGGACTTGGGTATCTTTGACGCAGTTATTGAGATCTGTGAGGGTCATGGTGTTTATTTGTGTGTGTAGCACCGTACTGTATTTCAATCCCAATTATTATGGATTTTGGCCATATCGCAGACATTGATTGGGGTTATCCACTTCTTGTACATGCGCTAAATTCGGATTGACTAACAGCTTTTTTATTTCAATATGTTGGGTTTCTTATATCGGCTCCCGTTCAGCACGGCTCAATTGAACATGCATCATTCTGCTTGATTAAGACAGCAGTGGCGCCACACTTTCTCACGCCATTATTTGATCAACCTGCCTGTTGTCTATGATTAATGTAATGTCTCCCAAGGCCCATTTTATATGCCCGTCCCAATGCACCCACTTGCCCACCGAGCCAGATAAAAATATGCAACGTAGGGTATGCAAGGTAGAAGATGAGGGAGTGATTAATAGAGCTGACAATACAAGACTATTTAGCACTTGTTGGGAAACAGAACGGATAATTTTCAAAAGCAGGAGTCCCATCGACGGCCAGCCGAATTTCGTTAATCCTATCAATGTCACCTAAATTTTATTGAGGTTGTTTGGCGCAAAAATAAGAGTGCGATCTTCGGCCATGGCATTGGCATGACAAGCGCCTGGGAAGAAGAACACTCCTCCATAGTCATAACGCAGACGAAGCCAACTGAAGGTGAGCAAGATAGACAATGGAGAGGGAAAAGGGATTTAATAAAAGAAAGAAAGCAAGCAAAAAACAAGGCCAAAGGGGTAAATCCGGTTGACTCCGTTGCGCCACCACCAAAACCACCCAATAGTCATTCCCATAACAGTACATGTCCAGCAAGTAATGGAGACATAATATCATTGTGTTAAGTATTCCGAGATTGTCCATCCAGGGACAAATATATGCTCTCGACAGAAGAGCTTTGGGTGGGCAAAATATATAAGCACCTCCGAAAATTAGAAACCTGGCCACTACTGAGCGTATAGTCTGCGCGAGTGGACAAGTGGGACCGGTTGTGTGTCCTTGTGATTGGTTTCCCAACACACCTTAAAATACATCTTCTGCAGCGAAGTATCGCTTGCTCTGACCTCGTGCCGTAACATATTTCATCTGGGGCACATTAGTGTGATGTACCACGTGTGGCCGGTAAACAGCATCGACAGGCCCCTGCCAGTCTTCCAGACCCAATGGGAAGTATTCATATAAGACATCGGCACTTTCGCTCGTAAAAGGTATGCTGGAGCCAAAATGTTGGTGGAAATTCGTGGCGTTTACTAAGGGGACTGTAGCAGATGTGCTCCTTGACTGAGTTTGAGGTATAGAGTGGGAAACTTTGCGTATTTTGGCCGGGCGCCCAGGCGTGTCCATACTTACGGACTTGGACGTGGGATCGTTTGGGAATGATGCAAGAGGCCGAGCCTGGTCATGAAGATGGGTCAGATCCGGATTGTCGTCGTCTAGGAGGGACAAATTAATGGGGGCTGCAACACTGCTTGTCCGTCGATGGGTCTCTATCGGACGTGAGAATTCTGGGCTAGACTGTGAGTAAATAGACGAGTGAGGTAGTGTCGTGGTATGAACTGTTGTACCCGATGCAATCTGCGCCCAGTCCGGGGAAGCTTGCTGGGGAGGAACCACGTTCGGTTGAGATGCTGAAGTTTCTGGAGAACTGCTCTTCATACCAGTCTTTGTTCTACTGGGTGTCAAGCCAGAGTGCGGCCCAGATTCGTTGGGAGAAGTTCGATTAAGGCTCGTACTAGCAGCAGCAGCTTGTGCATTCTTTCTAGAAGCAGCAGCACTACCACTTAACGGTAGATCTTTCCTAGACTGGAAATTGCGGGGACTGCGACCACGAACAATGACTGGACCAGAATGGACCTCGCAGATGGGAGTCCTAATTCCCGTGGACAATGTTGCCATCACCCGAAGCCGAACAACAAAATGCTGTTGGAGCTCCTTTCTGCGCCCATTATTAGCAGTTGCGACTCGAAATTGAAGGCGCTTCCAAGCGATTGGGAAAGTGGCGTAGTCGGTATCGAGATCTTGGCCACCCATCATGTCCAACGGGAAGGCCGGCGGTTCCTTCTCGACCTTGGGAGTGGTGCCATTCTGATTGTTACCGTTGCTGGAGTCTTCGTTGTTTAGGTTCCCGTTCGCAGCAGGAGTTTTCCAGGGCACGGAAATAATTTTGACCGAATTTCCTTCCACGGATTCGGTGGCCGACACAGTCAGCTCCTGCGCGACGATAGGTATCCGATCGCCAGTTTCCGTGATGATATAACGCAATCCCCGGGGAAGGGTCACAGAGCCGGTGATCTGGAATAGATTTCGCCGGTAGCAGGTCAATTCCGCCCCCTGCTGAGGTGGGGCGTTTTCGGTTGGGGACGTCGTCCACGGTGACTCGGCGAGGAAAAACATGCCATGTAGTTGGGCTGAGACAGATATTGACGTGCGTCGAAAAGAATAGTCAAGCAATGTCCAAGGGTATACTGGCATTGAGAAGCTTAAAAGTTTATTGTTATGGTCGATGGATGAGTCGGCAGGCTGCTCAGCAGGAGGTGCCGGCTCGAAGGGTGCCACCATGTCTGCGAAAGGATCCTCGTAGCCCGAAGAGAACCGCTTGAGGGTATCCGGAGGCAACGAATGATGAGGGAAAGCTAAATCATCTCCACTACCGAGGGGGGTGGTTAGGATATAGTGCGAAAGAAGACCAAAAGAAGCCACACACCTGACGAATGTATCGGAATCAAAATTGGAACGCTGGTCGGGTAGGTCCATCCCTGGTAGAGCATTGAGATAATCTGTGCCTTGGATATTACTTAGGTTCAGCGGGGAGCCCAGGTAGGGCATCGCCATAGTGTCGAAACCCTCCATGGGAAGGGCTCAGCTGTCGCGAATGGGGACAATGACCGGCACTGTACGCTGCGCGAGATGAGGATAAGGGCAGAGGGGCCAGATCACAGGCAGGAGGAAGCAGTGAAAGAATTGTCAAACCCCGAAGAGAATGAATCTCTTGAAACGATGGAGTGACGGCGAAGGACGGCGGAGGGTTAAAGAGGAGAGACCATAGAGGGGGTAGGGTAGAAGGGCGCGAAGGAAACAGCAGGAAGTAGGGAAAGGAAAGCAAGACTTAGAAGCTGCAGGTAAAGTATACAGAAGCGTTGGTAGAAGAAAGAGAAAGGCGATGGCGTCCAGGTCTTGAGTCTTGAATGGCGCCGAGTGGATCGGCCACCCCCGAAGTCAGCAAGCAGCGCTCAGCAACAGAGCACGTTAGTGGGGATCGCAGCTAGTGGGAAAGAAGAAACGAAAGACCCCAGGCAGGAGAACGATCCGGAGAGAGGCTTGCGCTAGGACGATAAAGGAAGAGATAAGAAGAAACAAGACGGAGCCGGCGAGATGGGGGTCTTCTGGGGTCTGGGAGCTAGACCAGGCAATGGGCGAAGGACCGTGGACGAGGTCCATCAGAGCTGGGATTGGGAGAGGACTGGGCAGTGGAGGAGGCAGATGAGGGGCGGGAATGATTGGGACAGTGGAGAGAGTGCACAGAGCAGCGAGCCAGCAACTCAACGGGAAGTGTGCACTGGACAGTGAACAGTGGTCGCGCGAAAGAGTGGGAGACTGCTGGAGGAGGGGAAAAGCCAAAGCCTCTGCGGCTGCTGATTCGCTGGCGGTGGGCTCTTTGCTGAATCGGGTTAGCGGTTTTCCGTAGTGGACGGCCCCAGGCCAACAACCGAACAAGAGGACGAGCCCGACCGGAGACGGCCCTGGCTGTTTGCATGCACTGGTTGTGTCGGAACCATGATCTCTTTCCCTTCCCTGCCTGTTTCTTGCGGAAGGAGGCTATGGGAGCCCCAGCAACTGACACTGGGTTCCGCCTGGTACCTGCTCTTAGTTTCGCAGTCGACTGGCGACCTGACAGGACTGAAGGCTAGGTTGGTCCGAGGTCGAGTCGAGTTACGGACCTTCCGCATTGGGAAGGTCCCCACCATGATAGCACCAGAAAGTTTATAACAAGACTCCACTGCAAAGGACTGGGGAAACTGTCCGTCAGGCTTCATCTTTGATGGCTATTCTTCTTGAGGAATCATAATAATGAAGGATGTTCTCATGGTAAGAGTACTATCTATGCTTTCATGCTAGCAGGGACTAGTTGCATGATAGTTATATGGTTATCATTAATTATCATTATCATTATTCAAGCGATGGATGGATGCTCGGTTAAGTGAGGTTAAACACGCACAGGTTGGACCAAAGCAAAGACAGACAGCACCTAGTCTTAGTGGTGCTATTATTGGTATGAGTACTCCTCGTAGCAGTAATATAAATGAACTCACACACACTCTCTCTCTCACTTTTTTTTTTTTTTTTTTTTTTTTTTACTCCGGAAGCAACAATAACGGGGTTGAAAGGCCCTGAATAGCACTCTGCCTAATGAGTCCACCCATGGTTCAGAAGCTGGCAGACCCTCTTTATCGATGAACGCAGCAAACACTCCGTCCTCTATGAGTGAAGATGCCTGCGTCCATTCCGACAGCTGGCCGCATTATTGGTCTCTCGATTGGCGCGAGGTCAGAGATTGATCGGCAGTGGTCTGGCTGACATGCATTTCGATCCTTTGCCCTGAAAGTCCCTGAGCGCAAACTCTCAGACTACCGGATCTGCCAGACTGCTTCCAGGCTCTGACGAGCGGGTACAGCACTCGGAAGTCTTCCATTTGGGGGCCAAATCCCAAACTGAGGCCTCTCATGCTGAAATGCTGAACACATGTGCCTTTTGATCTTTCTCCCGCTCTTATCGCTGGGTTGTACAGCCTCCCTGGGCAGTGAGGACGAGGACGGATCAGCCGCCATCTGGGGGTCAGTGATTGGGCCGGCATGACCGTCGCTGGACAAAGCTAAATCAGTTCAGGCTGCTGCTCCTTGCGATGGCGGCAGTGCCAATCATGTCGCAGGATCGTGATTTCCTTACCTTGCCAATGTCTCTCCTGCTCCCTTTGTCCTAGCACTGGGGGCTAAAACGCAGGCGGCAGAGCTGCAGGGAGCAGAAGCAAAAACGCGCCCGATGCGACGTTTCGATGCAGCCTGAATCCCTCGTGTCTTTTCTAGAATGTTTCTAGAATCAGATCCTTCGTCAATCGTCTGCAGCTTTGCAGACACTCGCCGGCTCCCCAAATGCCTCGTTTGCATGTGATTTCTGGCATGCATTAACAGATAGTATTATTATTATATTTTTTTATCTTTTAGGAATTATGGTCAGATTGGAGTCAGTGATGAAATCACAAATCAACCTGTGGAACCTCTGAAGCCTGAACCACCGTAATCCGCCCTCAAAAATCTCACAAGAAAGCGAGGCCTGTCTCTAAAAAATATATATCCATGGATGGAAAAAAAAAAAAAAAAAAAAAAAAAAAAAAAAACTGTGGCAGCTAAACAGCGGTTGTTGACCAGCCCTGCAGACAGCTTCCGAACACTGTTTTTGTCCCAGAACAGGCAGCGAGAAGATCATGGAAGTGTTCCATGTGCAGGGATTATTATCTTCGGCATGACGATTCAACGGGGCTCTCCGATCGAAGTCCTGCACCTCACATCCCCTTACACCGACTCCAGATTTGGAGCCTGGAGTCTCTGCGTCTCTGGGTTTTGATCGCCTTCGGCTGCCAAGCACAGTACGGAAAGGTCCAGCCAAGGATCCGCAGCATTCCAGCGTTCTTTCCGTCGAGAATGGGGCCCTCATTTTTCGCCTTCAGAACCAGCGAAAGTGAATTAAATATGCTGCCGCCCGAAGAGACAAATGCGAAGATAATAAAAAAAAATAATTAAAATTAAATAAATATTACTACTGTGAAGAGTGTCAATTACAGACGAAGACAGATGGCGTGGGTGGCGGAGACGGCTGGCCCACCTCTCTCTCTCTCTCTCTCTCTCTCTGTCTCGTATCATCCCATCATCTCATCCCCGACCGCCGTTCCTTTCTGCAAACGGCCGAGGTGCACAAAGCAACGGGACTGGTCAGTCTGTTTCGTCGCACAGTCTCACACCCTGCCAGGAGTTTGAACAAATCAATTGTAGCAAGGCCCGGCCGACCTCGCGCAAAGCTGAATACGCATCACCGTCTCACAGGGAGCAGGGACGGCGGCGCCCTATCGGATTGTCTCCCTGCCGTCTTTCTCTCAGCTCACAGTCCGTTGGAGCCCACCACGACAGGCTGCCCGACTCTATCATCTGTCCTGCCCTTGGCCATCCCAGCGGCTGGAGAGCGGCTTCGCCCCAATTCCTGTGCTCTTACAACGGTCCCAGCTAAGGAAAATAGCTGCAATCCTGCGCAGCGCCACGATGCGGTCGTAGCGTCGTTTGACTGGCTGGGCGCTCGTGTTGTTCCTGCACTCGGTCAATGCAGATCATCCGACACCTGGATGATGGATCTGTCAAGAGATGATACGCGAACCAAGCTCTTCGTCAAGAGGGAAGTTGATGCACGAGTCATGATGCGTTCCGACAAACTCATTGGATGCTGCACTGGCATCCGACCACTGATCAACAATATCCATCATGTCCTTTAATATTCCTGTTTCACAAATAGGTTTCTGTAGATACAAAGATCTCCTCCCTCCTGAACCCAGCCTCGCATCCACTCCAAAGACGTAAAATAACTTCACTCTATATACGAACAGAAAAGCCATGGTTTGCGTAGTCTCCGAGCTGCCCATATAGTTGATACATGTATAACAGAACATACTCCCTGCACAATCTTTGTACATGCACTTGTGCAGCAAAGATCTCTTCCAGTCTTACACTGGGTATCGCACTAGTGTATAACAAAATATCATAATAAAAAAAAAAAAAAAAACCGGGCGGGGTATACGATAGGATCGTCTCGTCTCGTCTCGTCTCGTCTCATCTCGCCCCATTTCAGGATCCAGGTACCATCGTCCACGTCGCCGCGTCACAGTTAACTTCCTCGAAACTATGCAGCGTGCTAAAGCCGAGCTCTGTCAACCAGTCAAAGTTACTATCCGCATCCACCTGCAAAACAGGGTTAGCATTGGCACCACTGACAGATTTCATGTGAAAGAGGCCAAGGAAGAAACTAGACAGGGGGGGGGNGATAAAAGGTGGAGACCGAGATCGAGTTATACATACGCAGTCTATAATAACGGCTTCAGCGCCCTGTCTCCGTATCTGCTTGATCCCCAACAGGACCAAACCCTGCAGGAGCGTTGAATATTCTCCAACCGATGGCGAAATCACTGGCGATGAAATACCTCCTGTCGATGCATGTGTAGCTTTCATACCGGGCATGTACTCTGCTAAGCTCGCTTGTTCATTGTAAATGACCACGCTGCCGAGGATTGCCCCATCTTTGGGTCGTCTAGCCCGAATGATGCCACAATGCGGTGCTCCGCCCAAGGCGAGTTTATAGATGTCTATCACGCCTTGCCGGGAATTAGTCTTCACGTGGTCAATGATTGAGTCCGCATAGTCCCATCCGTGAACAAGATCGTAAGTTACGTCTGCATTTTGTATGCTGCAGACTAGGCCATCGGGTGGTGTCCAAGTTTGCAAACTGCGGAGTATGACACTGCAGACAGGTCGAGACAGGGCTGTGTTCCAGCCTAGGTTTGCGAACCACTGGCGCAGTTGCTTTCGTTCGACGGGGTTTGCGGCGGGAATGCCTAGGTAGATTCCGGGCAAGCGAGAACCAAGTTGGAACCGCTTCAGCCCTTTGCGTTGCATGAGTGTCCGGATAGCGCGGTTGTGTAGAGAATTCCCAATGGAGAGTTTACGCCTTGACGGGTCGACAATTAGTGACCCAATGACTCCTATGCCCGTGGCTCGGAAGAAATAGGTCGAACAGAAGCCGTAGAGAGCTCTGGTAGTGCTGTTTCGAACAACGAAATGAGCCTCGTCGATGTCGTCTCTCCGCAAAAGGAAGCTATTAGGTGTAACACCCAATAATTCTGAGCGTTGTCCTCGAGTATCCTCTCTAGCTGTAGCTAGGAGCGAATCCAAAGCATCGAAATCTCTCTCCTCGTTCCAATTTTCCACAAGCCAGTGTTGCCTTGCCTGATGGAGCTTCTGGCTGCGGCTGAAGGAGCCCGGTAGGGATCCCTTCGGTGCCAACTCCCCGTACAAAACTTTCACTAGTGCTTCCAGAGCCGTGTCCGTAAAATCATATGTGCAAACATAGGTTCCGATGCTCGCGTCCAAGGAAAAGTCGTAGGGTGAACTAGCGCCAACCACAACTAAAGGCTTCTCCAACGGCTCGCCAGACGGAGTAAACTGTGATCTACAGATCATAGATACGTGTTTAGTAAACCCTTGCTGGTAGATATTCCTGACTGCATCTGCAGTGACAATGATAACTGCACTGGCTCGGTCAATAAGATTCTCGTGAATTGGGCGAACACCGTTCGATGTGTAGGATGTGTGTAAAACACGACCATTTCGGTGACGTGAAAGAGACCTTCCTAGCTCCTTGAAGACACTTTCGCCACTGAGCACGGATGCCGTTCTATCCCAAGCTACTGCATCAACTGACATCTCCAGCTGCTCAGTCACGGAGCGCGATACAGCAGATGCTGGCAAAGGCTTTACCAACGGTGTCAAAAGCAACAACTCTTCACTGGGACTTAGGATATTGGATAGTGGCAGCAGGTTTTTCTTATCACGCACAACCGAGATGGAATTGCTGTATGCTTTTGTTGAGAGACTGGTGTGAGATGGTTGCATTTGAGTAAGGGAAGGAAGCCCCCCTGGATTAAGGGCCTGCTCCCATGAGGTGCATCTTGCTTTCATTGCTAAGACCCTCCGCAGTGACTGTTCTATTCGAATTCGGTCAATGATGCCGTTCTCCACACCAAGTTTCAATCCGTTGATAGCCTCTTGCTGGACCTGGAACGACCTGCACAATAATATTATATCGCAACCCGCATTTTTGGCCATCACTGTCCCGCCGCCGACACCAATATTATGGGTAAGCGCCTCCATCTCCAGACATTCTGAAACAACAACACCGTCAAATTTCATGTCCTTCCGTAATATATCATCCACAACCTGTTCACTCAAACAGGCATGCATGACATTGACTCCAGCAGATGACATGGAAACACCTCCCACCATCATCGCATCGAGCCCATGGACAATGGCGTTTCGAAATGGGACCAACGCCGTTAGACTTAGTTGCTCCAAAGTTTCGGTGATAATGGGAACGTCCGTTTGGGAACCCAAAAATTCTAGGTTTCCATACGAAGGGAAGTGTTTGCCGCAGGTCACTAGCCCGGCTTTCTGGTAGCCTTTCATGAACTCTACCCCATACTGTGACACTTCTTGTGGATCATCACCGCAGGTACGAACGCCCATAAGTTGGTTTCGTACATTCGTCAAGACATCTAGCACTGGTCCAAGGATGAAATTGACACCGACAGCTTTAAGTTCTTGGGCTGTAGCAAAGGCAACATCGTGGGCTAGAGCTTTTGATCCCGTCGCCGTAACGCCCATTGCACTTGGGAACTGACGAATGTAGATCTCGTCGTACAAACTGTTAACCCCGCCATTTTCCTGGTCGAGAGCTATAAGCAACGGCACCGGGTGGCCAGCATCCCGGGCAATCATTTGCAACTCCATAACTAATCGAGTCGCCTCTTCTGCAGCTATTTTCAAGTCAGTACCTTGGTCTATACTAGGGAAACAATGCTGGAGAAATATGAGCAAGGTACGAGGGAGTAACAGGGGGATTACATTTTAAGTTCTTAGCAGTTAACAGGATTGAGCCTAGATGATAATTCTCAATGAGAGAGCGAATTTCAGGGCTGACAGATGTTCCATCAAAGCCCATCATAAAGAGCTGCCCCATCTGCCTATTAACGAGACATGGTAGCCAAGCAGTTAGCGAGGATTTGCTGGTAGTGGGAAGAGTTTGTAGATATCGAATCCAATTGCGTTCAAGGCCCAGCTACAGTATGACAAAATATATGCATATAAGACAACAGGAATAATTGAAACATATGCCAAAATCTGGGACGTACCTGTCAAGATCGTCCCAGCCAGGGGGCAGCATGCCCTCCTTGGGAGCCATATTGGCCCTCGGCTCCCGTGAAGAATGTCAGGCCAGAGCCTGATACGGCAGGTGGCTGGGTCAGTGGTGGGCCACACTCAGTCGGAGCTGATGTTCCGAGTCGGGGGAAGGAGGCGTTAGGTTCGGAAAAATGATAACTGACAAAGAGGTTGAAGCTGTCAACAACCAGAGTCGGTAGTTGGCTTAAGCTTCCTATTGACAGCACTAGCTCGGCAAGAGCTCGCGTGAAATGCTAGCGGGGGCAAATGAGATAGGGCAGTGGAACGAATAGCAATGCATGGAGCCTGGGCGGGGTTACGAGAAAGCGGACTTGAGGTGCCAGATGTTTTACTCGGTGGTCCAAATGTGGTGGAGGGCTTGCGTGCAGGGGGCGCAGTGCACAATGAACCATAGGAACGCTGCGAGAACAAACAATAATCAAAAATAAAGAGCCCAAAACAGTAACATAGTCGCGGCGCTAATTATTAAACCAGGGAGTTTGGAAAGAGGTGTGACGCTCATTCGTGCTTTCGAATCTACGTTTGATGAAGCTGAGAACGTGTGGGGGTGAGATGCGGTGTCGGTCACGTGTCTCTGGGGCCGATTGATGGGGAATGGGAGTTGAAATTGGGCTCGAATAATAATAGTGGTACATAATTTACCATGATTTCGAGGGCTTCAATACCGTACAATACGAACCATGTCACCTCTGTGTTTTGCTCAATACCAGACTTAATACCGAATACCACGTCACCGCGCTAGCGAAAAAGGGTTGCACTGGAACTTCGTCACGGCTCCAATGATTTCCCCAGAGTCCAACTTTGGCCAAATGCAACCGCAGCGCCTTAAAAAGGTCGCCTGTCAAGCGTTTTGGGTTTAGCGTGGGCCCTATGAGGGTGCCGCATGCAACTGCAACATGAAGCTATTCACTGCAGCACTTCTCGCTCACTTATTGCCTCCGTGGCTATCTTCATTCATTATTCCACTCGAACCCCCCCCCCTAAGTAATGCGAAGGCCGAGTTTGCCCCGAGTAGTTGCACCCAGGAGGCAGCGTGCAGCAGTGAAGCTGACCAGCCTCAAATTCCTCATGACGCTTGCATCATTCCTTGCCCGTGCCTCATTCTAGCCTGCAATATGGACGGCCGTGCAGCTCGACTAAATTAAGATCTTTCAATGACATTTCAGAAGCCTCAGAAATGGCTCCGCAGTATCGTCATCATCCCGTCTAGCCGTTGACTAGAAGAGAATCGCAACTCGAACAAGAAGGTGAATTCATAGCAAGACAACCAGTAGCAGTCCAACGTAGTGTCACGCTCCACCGGAAAGACTGACCCAGAACATGGATTCACTGGGAATTGCAACGGAGCCATGGGTTGAGGCCGCGGACGCAGTGGTTTGGCCACTACGTTGTTGAACCTTTTAAACGTTCTTATACTGCCTCATGATCCTGTATGTCCATCTTTTTTCTTTGCGCTTTTCCCGGACCTTCGCTATACTACCATCTGTCACACTCCTGTTCAACAACTAACCTGTACTTTATTTATCTGTGTCCCACGCCCATTCTGATCTCGACTTTCAATATTCGGTGACGTAGTGTCTCGAAGCTTGTCATCATGTATGATTGTGTCCGGACTGATTGTCTAACCCTGCCCACATCTGCTAAAAATGTGATTACTATTTTTTTAGGAGGGTTATCATCCGCGATACATCTCTGCAGGCTTCAGAGTACATCGCTGACTATATCATCAGTATGATATCCATCCCACTCATATATGGTACTACATTTTGGTCAAGACTCACATCACTAACATCTCGCCTGCTCAATTCAAGGTCGCATCAAAACATTTAAGCCTACCGTGAGCAATCCATTCGTTATTGGCCTTCCAACTGGAAGCAGCCCTGAAGTCATCTACAAAACCTTGGTCCGACGCCACAAAGCTGGGGAAATCTCATTCAAACATGTTGTGACGTTCAATATGGTATGGCCGACAGCCTTATATGCTAAAAGAAGATGCCTAGTGACTGATACAATATAGGATGAATACGTTGGGCTCCCCCGCGATCATCCTGAATCATACCATAGCTTCATGTACAAGCATTTCTTCTCCCATGTTGATATTCCGCCGCAGAATATTAACATACTTGACGGCAATGCCGCGGATCTAGCCTCTGAGTGTGCTTCATTCGAAGCACGCATTGCTCGCTATGGTGGCATCGAGCTTTTCCTCGGCGGAGTGGGATCTGATGGGCACATCGCATTCAACGAACCAGGATCATCTCTCAATAGCCGCACCCGCGTCAAGACATTGGCTTTCGACACGATACTAGCGAATTCTCGATTTTTTAACGACGACATGGCCCAAGTGCCTCGAATGGCGCTAACTGTGGGTATTCGAACCATCATGGAGGCACGTGAGGTTGTGATAGTGGCAACCGGCGCTCACAAAGCATTGGCCATCAAAGAAGGCCTTGAGGGTGGTGTGAACCACATGTGGACCATTTCGTCCCTTCAACTGCACCAACATCCCTTGATTGTATGTGATCGTGATGCGACACTGGAGCTTAAAGTAAAGACCGTCTACTACTTCGAATCTATCGAGAAATCCGGAACAGATGCCCGCACTCAAGGACCTCCTCTCGTCTACCGACCTAGGACCTATGTCCCGGCTCTAATGGCGGTGGACAAGCCTCAAGCGCTTGCGCCTGCTCCCCCATCAGAGCAAACGTCAAAAGACCTGAGGATCAATACGGATCTCAGGCAGACTTTCGAAGACGAGGAGCTCACCCCAGATAGCATGTCTTCGCGTATGGTAGACTCGGCTGTGGGCGGGTTAGACGCAACTCTGAAAAACGATTTGATATTTGACCGTATGAGTGAGAGAATGAAGGCTCACTAGTATGATGGACGGACACTGGGGAGTTGGATTTATGCGTTATTGACTTGCTGGAACGAGTTCAGATTCTAAATTGGCCTTCGTCTAAGAAACTTTGTCTTGAATTTTGCATACGAATGTGACTAGACTTACGATCATAGATTGACTGCATAGTATAGTATTTTGGTTGCTACTCTGAGAAGTAGCTTATAGATTGGCAAAGGTGAATAAGATATGTATTTATATTCTCTGTTTGTGCTGTGAAGTATGTTTTATATCTATTTGTAGTTATTAGTATCAAGTGGGATATGTTAATATTCTAATAACCTTAGAAACAGATGTTGTTTATTGCATGTGCTGCTAGCTACTGACCTCTAAAAGGCTTCAGCGAGCATATTCTATGAATAAGAAATGAAGTACGCAGATTCAAAAGATTTACTTGATCAGATCCATAAAGACTGGCACGAATTAAACCTACTCATCACCGGGCTCATTATCATATAGTCTTAAAAAAAAAAAAAAAAGAAAGAAAGAAAGAAAGAGAAAAATTGGTCTGTACTAAGCAGCAGCAGCCCAGGCCAGCAGAGATGTCGTCTTTAGTCGCAGGAAACACCAGCGATCAATGCAAAGTTAGCAAGAGATGACAATAAAACTGAAACTTACTATGTTTGCTGCTTGGGTCCCTATATCGTATCGTGCTATGCAGATGCAAGCGCAGATATGGAAACAACAAACTTTCAGCCAAAAATTTCTAGGCAAATATATCAGATAGAAGATAGAAGTTCTTAAAATTTATTTTTATGAGAAGTCTAAGTGGCATGGCACTGTACATACATACAGAAATATCGGGTAGAGCATTGGTGCTTACAGTTTAGCGAAAACTGTTCCAACAGCACTGCCCATCTCAACCAGAGTGCTCTTATTGCGTACCCAAGCCTCAATACCCTTCCGGCCGTTCTCAACACCAAGTCCACTCTTCTTCCATCCACCAACCGCCATCTCGGCAGGGCTCTCACCCCAAGTGTTCACCCACGTAATACCAGCCTCAAGCTGATCGATAATGCGGTGAGCGAGGTTGAGGTCCTTGGTGAAAACTCCAGCGGCAAGACCTAATTCTGTGGCATTCGCGCGCTTTACTGCCTCTTCAACTGTGTCATAGGCCAGAATAGACATGACGGGCCCAAATATCTCTTCTTTGACGATGCGCATATCATCCGTGCAATCAGTGAAAATCGTCGGGCGAACCCAGAAACCTGCTTCTAGATCCTTTGGAAGGGAAGGCTTGCCAAGGCCGCCGTACAGGAGAGTAGCCTTGTCCTTCTCAATGCCGCCACGGATATAAGCAGTGACCTTTTCTTGGTGAACGGCCGAGCTAAGGGGCCCGAAGTTGGTGCTCTCGTCAAACAGCTGGCCTGGCCGAATATATTGCATTTTCTCGAGAAGACGAGACTCGAAGTCTTTCTTCATGGATTTAGGGATGAAGACTCGCGTGCCGTTCGTGCAGACCTGACCAGTGCTGTAGAAGTTGGCCATCATGGCTCCGTCAACAGCATTTTCAACATCTGCATCCGGAAGAATAAGCAGCGGCGACTTTCCTCCTAACTCCATAGTACTGTATTTCATATTTCCGGCTGCAGATCCAGCAACTTTCATTCCAGTCGAGACCTGGCCAGTGAAGGAGACCTTAGCGACGGTCGGGTGAGAAGTTAAATAAGAGCCAACATCGCCTGCACCATACACGACGTTGAAGACCCCGTCTGGGAGCCCGGCTTCCTTATAAATCTCGGCGAGGGTTTGGGCGTGGAGAGAGGTGAACTCGCTGGGTTTGTAAACCATGGTATTTCCGGCAGCGAGGCACGGGGCTGATTTCCAAAGCGCACTATGAAGGGTTAGCCTCTCGTCCCATTCCACAATGCTAGGAGTGAAAAGTACATTTGAATAGGGTAGTTCCACGCCCCAATTCCGACACAAACTCCTAGTGGAGCCTTCTTCGAGTACACCCAAGCCTCCTCTCGAAGCTGAGTAGTCTCGCCATTCAGTCCACCGCCACCCACGAGGTTCGCATAATATTCAAGTACGTCGGCTCCCGTGACAACATCAACAGTGCTCGTCTCTGAGAAAGCCTTTCCGGAATCTAAGGTCTCGACGCGAGCGATTTCATCGTTGCGCTCACGGAGAAGGGCCGCAGCCTTCTGAAGGATACGGGCTCGAGCAATCGGCGGGGTTTGTGACCATGAGGGGAACGCACGGTCTGCAGATGCAATAGCAGCATCTATGTCTGATTGTGAGGCAATGGGAAGTTCAACCAAAGAAGTTGCATCGGCAGGGTTGATGGAGTGAAAGGTGTGGCCAGACGACGCTTGCTGCGGCTTGCCGTCGTAGAAGAGCTGGCGCGGGCGGAGGGAAGGGGCCATGGCAGTTTATGATTGCAGCCTCTTGCTGGTGAAAGCCTAGACGGGTGGAAAAAAGATAAATGCGCAGAAGTATCGGGCAAGGTAGTTTAGTTATCTCTCTAAATGAAGCTAAGTTGTTGCGCCCCTCGAGGAAGACGACAAGGCCCGTAACTCCGATGGATCTGGAAAAACGGTCCCACGCTCCCCACCACAACCAGTGAAGCACACCGCCAACTCAACTCAAGAAGGCCGATGTTTTGCCTCTCGATGGGGGGAGAATTAAAAAAAAAAAAATAAGAAAAGAAAAAACGAACCGTTGTCAGTCTGCAGACACTCAAAGGCCGCTGCCGAAGTAGCTATCTAGTGGTTGGACGGTGGACGTATCTTGAGGTGTATGGCATGATGGGCATAATAATGCCGGAGCCCGCGGACAGCGGTTCTGGATGAAACTCGGGAGGACATGCAGGTTGCTGGGTCACCTTGAATAATTTTACTTCATCCGGTATGGATTATTCATTGCTTGGCTGGCTTGAAGGCCGAATTGCGGTGCCCGAGTGGGAAACTCCATCCAGAGGTGAGACTTTTGAGGCTTCAACTAAACCGCAACAGGCCATAGGAAAAGCATCATTGGACCGATTGCGGATAACCGTCCTTCTAGCGTCTGTTTTCCTTTATAAACTCTTCTGTGTTTAGAGAGGATCGTGGGTCTCTTTAGCGCCGTCCCACGTGTGGAATGACGTCGACTCGGCAGTCGACGATAAGGCTACAATTGTTTGCACTAGGAGTGAGCCTGACGTGAGCAGGCATTGCTGCAAGTATGTTGTGCGAAAGAAGTCCAGAGTAATGTTTGTGAACCGGTCTGACTTAAAAAGCTGCTTTGAGGCAAAGTGTTGACGATGTGAAGCCGGACTTCCAAAGGTTAGAGTGAATGAATGGGTGGCAGGAGAATGGATCCACTGGTAAGATTCTCCGACTTAGAGCGGCGCGGACTCGTGTGTCTTTGATGGCGGTGGAGAAAAAAATTCATGGAATCAAAGGATTTATATTATGGCTCGCTTCACCTCTGGTCCTCGTCTTTGCTCTCTTCTGCTCTTACCCACGGTCTTCTCTTCCCGTTAAGCGTCTTGATTTTCCTCCCCAGTGCATCCACGTCTACCCCTCCCATTATTCATCATGGCCACCACTAACGATTTCCCCGCAAGCGACGTCAACGCCTACGACTATGTGATCGTCGGAGGTGGTACTGCAGGCTGCGTTATCGCGAGCCGCCTAGCCCAGTACTTGCCGAACAAGCGCATCTTGCTAATTGAGGCTGGTCCCAGCGACTACATGGATGACCGTGTCCTTAACCTAAAGGAGTGGCTCAATCTGCTGGGGGGCGAGCTGGACTACGACTACCCGACTGTTGAGCAACCAATGGGTAGGTTGCCCCTAGAAACTTCAGGATCTCGATGGCAGGAGAAGCTGACTTTTAGTAGGTAACAGCCATATCCGCCACTCTCGCGCAAAGGTTCTAGGAGGTTGCTCGAGCCACAACACTTTGATCTCGTTCCGTCCGTTTGAGTATGACTGCAAGCGATGGGAAAGCCAGGGGTGCACAGGGTGGTCCTTTGAGACCTTCACTCGCGTTCTTGATGGCCTGCGCAACACCGTTCAGCCTGTCCACGACCGACACCGTAACCAGCTGTGCAAGGACTGGATCCAAGCCTGCTCGACGGCAATGAACATTCCCGTCATCCCCGACTTTAACAAGGAAATTCGTTCCAAAGGTCAATTAACAGAAGGCGTTGGCTTCTTCTCGGTTTCATACAACCCCGACGATGGCCGCCGTAGCAGCGCCAGTGTCGCCTATATTCACCCGATCCTCCGCGGCGAGGAGAAGCGTCCCAATCTAACCATCCTCACCAACGCCTGGGTGTCTCGTGTCAATGTGAATGGCGACACCGTCACTGGGGTTGATATTACCCTACAGTCAGGTGCGAAGCACACTCTCCAACCTAAGAAGGAGACCATCATCTGCGCTGGTGCCGTGGATACACCTAAGCTTCTTCTCCACTCCGGCCTAGGGCCCAAGCAGCAGCTGGCCTCTCTTGGAATCACGGTTGTGAAGGACATTCCTGGTGTGGGCGAGAACTTGATCGACCACCCGGAGAGTATTATCCTGTGGGAGCTCAACCAGCCAGTTCCCCCCAACCAAACGACCATGGACTCGGACGCAGGCATTTTCCTGCGGCGCGAAGTACCCAACGCTGCTGGGTATGACGGCCGCGCTGCCGACGTTATGATGCACTGTTACCAGATCCCATTTTGTCTCAACACGTCGCGTCTAGGATATGACACTCCCGTTGATGCTTTCTGCATGACTCCCAACATCCCCCGCCCTCGCTCACGTGGCCGTCTCTATCTGACTTCATCGGACCCAAATATCAAGCCAGCCTTGGACTTCCGTTACTTCACAGACCCTGAAGGCTACGATGCCGCTACTATTGTCACGGGCCTTAAGGCAGCTCGTGAAATCGCTAAGCAATCGCCCTTCAAAGACTGGATTAAGCGCGAGGTCGCCCCTGGGCCGAAGGTGCAGTCTGACGAGGAACTCTCCGAGTATGGTCGTCGCGTCGCGCACACCGTCTACCACCCCGCTGGAACGACCAAGATGGGCGATGTGACTCGCGACCCGATGGCTGTTGTCGACCCCAAGCTAAGAATCCGTGGCTTGAAGAACGTCCGCATCGCTGATGCTGGTGTCTTCCCCGAGATGCCCACCGTCAACCCTATGTTGACGGTGCTGGCTATCGGCGAGCGCGCTGCCGAATTGATTGCTGAGGAGGCAGGCTGGAAGCTCGAGCAGCCCAGGCTGTAAAGCTCGTCGCCTTATTCCTTCACATCCTTACATAGCAGCATGTTTATAGTACT